AATATGCTAATTTTTTGAGATAGGAATTTTGGGTTTTCATGAGCTGTATGCCAAAATCATCAATATTAAAACAATAAAAGGCTTGAACTACTTCAGTTGTGTGTAATGAATCTAACATATATGAAAGTCTAATGTTTATCAGTCAATTACAGAAAATAATGAACTTTATCACAATATGCTAATTTTTTGAGAAGGACCTGTATGTATTCAGTTAGTGTAAACATGCACGGTGCTATCACAGCGAATGTGAGACTGAGACTGAAGTGTTACCCTTTGTTTCCGCTGAGAGACGTGCCGCGTGACTCATTTCCCCGCGCACAAGTTATCTTAACAACGCGTTCACGGTTTGACTTCTGAGATTCAGATCGAGTTCTAGGTAATTTTTTTTTCGAACTGGTTGATTTGACTTTTAAGAAATTCGACTTATAAGTTCGAGAACTGAGGTACCACTGTATTTTGATATCTTTACTTCGTTTTATGTACATTTTTAATTGTATAGTGTTGATATTATGAGTTTTTAATTTTTATGCTGATATTTTATAATTCAGTTATTTGAATACCAGATACGAGAGCTTCCAGTGTTTAAAAAAAAAAAAAAAACTCACCGATGGGGAAAGCTGGTAATAAGGCATGGGTGAGGTTATCCTGGGTGATGATTACCTATAAGTCCTTGCTTCTGCAGTGATGGATGTCACGGACATCGCTCACGGCAAGCTGGACGACGAGGAGAAGCAGCACTTCATCCCTTTCCAGCAGTGAGTGCCCTCACCGCTGCCTCGTTGTGTGCATGTCCTCATCCAGCGTGAATCACCTCCACTTCTGCTTCGCCCTGAAGAGTCTGCCGAATTTTACCATTTTTATAAAATACCAGTGAATGTTCTGTGGTTTGCTCGGAATAAACTTCAAATTAGTTGTGGGAGTTGACTATGGGAATGTAGCTGATTGTTCACTGACAATAAGGCCGCAGCTGACATCTGTTTGTTACATTTTTTCAGGAGTGTATACAGGGGCAGGGCCACAGGGGCACTGGCATCACTTGAGACCTGATTTCCCCCCTCCTCTGTCACTCACTGATTCAAAACAAATCATTGGCTAATGATAAGGGTGACCCCTCGGTATAAATTATGACCCCATCTTGAATAATAATCCTGAAATTGCCCCAGTATATTATTTTATCCTAATTGATCACATTATTGGGTGTGGCTTTGGTGGTGTGTGTGGCCCTACATCTCTCCCTTCCTGCCTCAGGATTGCCATGGAGACCTACATCCGTCAGAGGCAACTCATCATGTCGCCTCTGATGCCATCCCGGGCGATCGGGGAGAACGAGCCCCTCACTGCCGTCTTCAACAAAGTCATCTCCACCCGCGAGGTCAACCACAAGGGCCAAGGTGCTGCCCCTCCCCCCCACTGACTGCATCTTGCCAGCGTAGCCATGCTTTGTGTCATCTCCCTTTTATCTCTCTCTGTGGGGGGGGGGGGTGATTGTGCTGTTGAAATTGCTGATGCAGTGGTTTTTGTACTTTATGTCTGCGTGACATCTGTGCTTTGCTCCGAGTGTCTGCGTGCCAGCCTTAGCGCCCCCCCTCCTGCCTTCTGCATTATCAGGCCTGTTCGTGACCCTGAAGCTGCTCCCCGGTGACCTCAGCCAGGTTCAGAAAGACTACCCCCACTTTGTGGATCGCAGCACCGTCATCGTCCGCAAAATGGGCTTCCCCGAAATAATCCTGCCAGGTTTGTATGGGATGTATTACCCCACACGCACCATCCTGCCCGGCCTCTGATGGTGGTTGTTAGAGGCAGAGACACTTTGTTTCTCATTTTTACATATTGACCTGTTACCTGCCCCCCCCCAGGAAACGTACGGAATGATATCTACGTGACGCTGCTGCAGGGGGAATTTGACCGGGGCAAGAAGAAGGCTCCAAAAAATGTGGAAGTGACGCTGAGTGTCCTAGATGAGAACGGCATGCCCATGGAGGTAGGCCAACTCCGTGCCTCAATGCCTGGTCTCTCCACTCCCTCCCTCCTGGGCGCTCTTCCTCCTTCCGGATGCCCCTGTCCCTCACCCCATGCAAGCAGAGGAACCGCCCCCCCAACACCATCCCATGAACACATCTTTTGAGGGTGTTTAGAGTCTGTCGCTATTACCTTTAATGTTCTCTTCCCGCTGATGTTTGAGTGATGTTCCTTTTCCTCCTCCACAGAAAGCCTTGTTCCCTGGGGCAGGCTGCGATGGGATCACAGAGTACAAGTCTGTCATTTACTATCAGGTTAAGCAGCCTTGCTGGAATGAGACGGTCAAGGTAAGCAGATGGGTGCCTAAGGACCAGTGGCGGTGTTCCGAGAAGGCGGATGCAGAAATGGGATCCCCCGCGTTTTCAGACCCAGTGCTCTCCCGCTGCAGGTCGCCATTCCCATTGAGGATGTGTGCCACTCTCACCTCCGGCTGATGTTCCGCCACCGCTCATCCCAGGACTGTGAGTTGACCGTGGCTTGGAGATCCAGGTTCTGCTTGTGGTCATGCTGAGCTGGCCGGGAATGGATACGGGGGCGGGGCCAGAGGGGCACTGACCCCAGCTGAAAGCCGATTGGTCCAGAGTGGCCCTTCCCCTGTCACTCACAGATTCAAAACATGTCATTGGTTGGCCTCTCTATGTGAATTATGGCCCCTCTTTTACCCCATCTTAAAAAATTATAGAATTACCTGTGGAGCTGGCGGTGTTTGGTTCTCTCCTCCTGACTGCCTCTTCTCTTCTAGCCCGGGACAAATCGGAGAAGCCCTTTGGTATGGCCTTCGTGCGGCTGATGAAGGCAGATGGGACCACACTGAGGGATGGCAGGCACGATCTCATTGTTTACAAGGTACTGCTGCCTTTGGCACCTTACCGTATTATGTGTCTCTTCTGCTGCTTCTGAGAACTGGAGATGTTCTGAAATTTATCTAAACTACTTTCAGGTTTTATTGTCACGTATGTTCTGAGGAATACTGTGAAATTCTTATGCAGGGTAGAGCATCGGGGAATAGGACAATGCAATACAAGACAATGCAGTGCAGTGCAGTGCAAGACAGATAGCAGTGCAGTACAAGCCAAGACAGTGCAGGACAAACAGCAGTGCAATTCAAGACAATGCAGGACAAAACAGTGTAATATAAGAATGAGTAAACAATCATTACTATAGTATAGACCTATAACCGTCTGCAGGGATGATGTCACCGGCTGCAGTTTGAGCAATAATTTTGAGCAATAATTTCTCTTGGGCCTTTTAGTTTAACAAACACATGAGTATCTGAAAATGTGGAGGGCGATTTTGTTTTGTTGAGTCAAGCCAGTTGTACTACTCTCTGAAGGTGGATGCAAAGAAATCAGAGGATGCCAAGACTTACCTAACCTTGCCTGGCACGTGCACGGAGGCGGAGGAGAGGGAGAGGCAGTCTGGCAAGGTTCCCCATGTGGGCTCCGTACCTGCGACCAAGGACAGCTTCCAGATCGCCACACTGACCTGTTCCACCAAGCTCACTCAGAATGGTAAGGATTGGTCTCAGCATTGTCTTGATCATGCAGTGCGGGGGTCCTGAAGACATCCGGGGGGCCACAAAGAGTGACAGCACTAAGGACAAGGCCCATCACCATATAGCAAGCTATTGCATCCACCCACCCAATTTTTACTGCTTTTCTGAAGCTGTTACATCAGGGGTGGGCAGTCTTATCTGCATAGGGCCAGTGTGCATGCAGGATTTTGGGATAACCTTTAGGTCAGCTGTTCAAACCCAGGTGTGAGGACTCTTCAGCCAATCAGTCCTCTAATTAGTAATCCGATTAGGGAGTTGCAGTGAGACCCTGCATACACAACAGCTCTTTCTGGATAAGATTGCCCACCGCTTCATTGAATCATTTAAATCATTTTATTCTTCAAGATGTGATTTCATCCTAAACTAGTCCCTTAGCTTATGGATTTCTCCTTGAACTTTGGTAATAAGTGCAATCTAGCATGTTTGCGCTAACTGGCATCTGCGTAAACTTCCTGGCTTTGTGGTGTATCTCAGTGGATTTGCTGGGGCTGCTGAACTGGAGGTCCAACCCCCAGGACCTGGAGCAGATTCTGCAGCGCCTGATGGAGGTGGAGGGTGGGGAGATCGTTAAGGTGAGGACTGCGAGTCTGACCGGCTTGGCACAGGGCAGTTTATCGCATAGCTTTCAGGATGTCCAATGAAATGACATGTTTGATATTAATAATGTCTTTCATAAGATCTTCCAAGAATGTAGCAATAAGCAACGGATGTTTTTCACTGATACACAAAATGAGTTTCATTGATTACAAAAGAATATCATTAAGCAATACGTGCTTAAAGGGCTTATTGATTGGAACTGCATTTCTCTTTTACAATGCTATGTATGATGGATTTAAAGTCATTCATGAAAACAAGCAGATCTTAAGACAGAGGCATTGATCTCTACATGCCTTTGGGGGAGGGGGGACTGAATGTAACAGATGATTGGTAGGTTGGTTGAAAAAAGACTGAGGATAAGCATGGTTTACTGAATAACATTGTGAGGCCATAATATTGCTTTTTTCTGTGAGTGGGTGTGGAGTGCCGTTTAGCACTCTATGCAGCGTAGAGTGATGAACATGTGATTTGGCATTCATAAAAATCATAATGAATAATGAAATTCAAATTCAGCTTTGAGAAAAGGGCCTTCATGAATATGCATCACATCCCCGTACGATCCTTAGAGAGCTGTCGCGGGTGTGTGTGTGTTGTATTCTGTCGGAAGGATAAGAATGACTGTCCTGCTTCTCTTGCCTGAGGGCAGTTTTTGCAGGACACGCTGGACGCCCTCTTCAGCATCATGATGGAGAACTCGGAGCAGGACACCTACGACATGCTGGTGTTCAATGCCCTGGTGAGCGAATCAGCAGGCTCGCATCATGAGGTGGCTGGTCAGGCTCACTTGAGCCAGATGTTACCTTTTAGTGCCCACTTTATTACATTCTAATAAGTGTTAAAACTTTCAGAAAGTTTTAAAAAAGCTTCTCTGCTGAGTAACGAGTTTCACATCTTTGTGTCAGAAATATGCAAATTTTTCACATCTTGGAATAGAGTCCCGGCCCACCGAGGCTCAAAGGTCTGTTGAGTTTGATCTGCTTGGCCTGTGAATTGGTTCTTGGCCTTGACCTGCATGGATCTGAGCTTCTTCCCGCTGATTGAATGTCCTTCCTGCTCTGCGTGTGTCCACCTTCAAGCTCTCTCCTTGCTCCCTTTTGGCAGGTGTTCATCATCTCGCTGATTGGGGACATCAAGTTTCAGCACTTCAACCCGGTCCTGGAGACCTACATCACTAAGCACTTCAGTGCCACGCTGGCGTACACGTGGGTGTCTTCTTCGCTTTACCAATTTGACGAAAGGTCCTCTTTGGCAACCCTGTTCCTCCTCCTAGTCATGTGATGCTTTCAATGTTTCAGCGCATTGTTTCCCAATCCGGTCATCAGGAACCCACAGTCAGTCCATGTTTTTGCTCTTTCCGAGCTCCCTGCCAGACAGTCCACATTTTTGCTCCCTCACAGCTCCTGGTTGGGAGGGAGCAAAAACGTGGAGAAACTGTGGGTCCCCGAGGACCGGATTGGGAAACACTGTTCCAGATCTGTTCTAGTCTTTGTCTTTGCATTCTGTCTGAACCTGTTTCTCCATTTCCTCTGTCATGAGCCTCTTATCTTTAACGCAAAGTTTATTTGTAGTAATAAAACGCTATGTTAGAGCAACTGATATGAGGGAAATGCATACTAATGGAAGGTAATATAGCTATGCTATCTATGGGAGCTTCAGGAAGTGATGTAAGCCGCACAGACCATCCTCCTCCACCTGACAGGAAGCTGACCAAGGTACTGAACTTCTATGTGGGACATGCTGAGGACGCTGGCCTCAGCGAAAAGCTTTACTCCGCACTCAAGGCCCTCAAGTACCTGTTTCGGTTTGTGGTGCAGTCGCGGGTGCTCTACCTCAGGTGCGTCTCCGTACACATTCAAGGGGGCTCAGGGTGAGGCTTCACCGCCCATTCCATTCCACGGCCGCTCCCCTTCATGCATTTGATCCTTTCAGATTTTACGGAAGCAGCGAGGACGGGGATGATTTTTTCGACTCTATCCGGACCCTCTTCCTGTCCTTCAATGCGCTTATGGACAGGCCGCTGGACGAAGGCGTGAAGATCAAGGTTAGTTTGGTTGTGCTGGTCAGCGCTGCGCTGGTTCTGGTTTCCCTGCCTCTGCCCTGTACTTCCTTCTGATGGAGAAGAATGCGCAGAGTTATTGGACTCTGTGTCTCTTGTTTTGTCACAGGGAGCAATACTGAAATATCTCCCCACCATCATCAACGACATCCAGAATGTCTTTGACCCCGTGGAATTCAGGTGAGAAGACCTGTGGATCATGATGGGTGCCGTCCTGGCTGTTGAGATTGGCTGATAATCTCGACCCATGTCTCTGGCCGGGCTGCGCGAGAGAGGTTTCCATCCGCCAGGTTTCCACTCAGGCGAGCAGGAGCATCTCAGAGGTTGTCTCTCTTGCAGCGTCCTCCTGACCAAGTTCATCGAGAGCATCCCCGACGCCCAACTGGTGAGGCAGAAGCTGGGCTGCATGTGCAAGATGGTGGAGAGTGACCTCTTCAAGCAACCGGGTGAGGACAGTGGAGGTCTGGGAAGACCATGGAAGAGCAGCTCCGATGTGCTGAAGGAACTAAATCAGGGATTCTTTAGCACAAACCTGACTATTCATCATTTACGTTTGCCGACCCCCTTAGCTGGGGGGGTGGTTTGGGCTTGCGTCTGTGGTGTGGCCCCACTACTGACCAAACCCCGACTCGCTCCTGGGCCTTGGACCAGAGATTGAGTGCCTTAGTTACAGTTCTGTAAGCTGTCAATTCTTATTATTGTGCACTCAAGCTTTTACCTGAAAATGCCATGAAATATGCAGGTTCTGTTTACTGTTATCCCCCCCCCCCCCCCTCCCAGAATGCCGTGACGTGCTGCTGCCAATGCTGACAGACCAGTTGAGTGGCCAGCTGGATGACCACTCCCACAAGCCGGACTATGAGGCCTGCGCCCAGCTGCTAAGCACCATGCTGGACTGCCTGGACCGTAAGGGCGTGGTAAGTCACCTGGGAATCTCTGTTCTCATTGACTCGGGTACCTTGTCATTTATCCTCCTACCCTATTGCGTACCTGCTCCATGACCTTCAACCTTTTTGCTATTTCACTAAAGCAATTAAGGCCCATTTTCTTGTCCATCTATACTCCACTGGGATCACCAATGGTGTATTTACAAGTAAAGATTTTGGCCCAGTTCTACTTATTGTGTGAGATCTCAGTCTTTGCTTTCTTTATGTACATTGCTGATCTGATGTGTTTGTCTGGTTGGACCAGACATGGGGTTATACGCTGAAATACAAGGAGGAAATTTATTAGTTTGTGACTAATGGTCTTTTTCATTTTGAATGCCTAGATAGTTAAAGTGTCTGTTGAATTGATATTAACAGGATTAGCTGTTAGGCGCTATAATTATCCGTTTAATTATTCCATGTAAAACTTTTTATGCTTTTGTCGAACAGATTTATCCTGTTATAAGAATGTGGAAGCTTATCTGTTAAATGGTGATTAAGCTTAATCTGGTAATGGTGATCAAACAAATTGGTTTTGTTACAAGTGCTCCAAAACTGCCTAATTGTTAATTCTCTGTAGGCTCGCAGTAAGATCAAAATTTCCTTTAGAGCAAGAGCGCCTGCTGTCTCATGCTTTTCCTTGGTGTTATGGGATGAGGGGGCGTGGCCTGTTGCCCCTTGCTGCTCTCACAGACCCCGCCTCCTCCTGCATTTCTCCCCTAGGGTTCTACCAGCGCACACGTGCAGATGATCATGGAGCGCCTGCTTCGCCGGGTCAACCGCACCGTCATCAGCATGAGCCGCACCTCTCCGCTCATTGTAAGGCCTGGGGGGAGCGGCTTGGACAGCACCCCCTCTTGCTCGCGTTGGCGAACTGCGTGGTTGTGTGTGTGCTTCTACAGAAGGGCGCTCCCCTTGTCTTTCAGGATCACTATCTGGCCTGCATGACGGCGATCCTGAAGCAGATGGATGACGCGCACTACGCCCACTACATCAGCACCTTCAAGACCCGGCAGGACATCATCGTGAGTCTGCGTCCGCTTCCCTGCTCTACGTTAGGGTCCCAACAGGAAGCCTTCATGGTCATAAAGGGTGTTTTTTATTGCTGTGGTTTTCAAGTAGATACATATATACACTGCTCAAAAAAATTAAAGGAACGCTTATTAATCACAGTATAGCATCAAGTAAACTAAACTTCTTGGATATTCATCTCGTCAGTTAAGTGGCAGAGGGGGTTGTTAATCAGTTTCAGCTGCTTTGGTGTTAATGAAATTAACAACAGGTGCACTAGAGGGGCAACAATGAGACGACCCCCAAAACAGGAATGGTTTAAGAGTTGGGTGCCACTGACATTTTTCCGTCCTAATCTCTTCTGACTGTTTTTTCACTAGTTTTGCATTTGGCTACAGTCAGTGTCACTACTGGTAGCATGAAGCGATACCTGGAACCTACAGAGGTTGCACAGGCAGTCCGACTCCTCCAGGATGGCGCATATTGATGTGTCATTGCCAGAAGTATTGCTGTGTCTCCCAGCACAGTCTCAAGGGCATGGAGGAGATTCCATGAGACAGGCAGTTACTCTAGGAGAGATGGACAGGGCCACTGAAGGTCCTTAACCCATCAGCAGGATTGGTATCTGCTCTTTTGTGCAAGGAGGAACAGGATGAGCACTGCCAGAGCCCTACAGAATGACCTCCAGCAGGCCACTGGTGTGCATGTCTCTGACCAAACAATCAGAAACAGACTTCATGAGGGTGGTCTGAGGGCCCGACATCCTCTAGTGGGCCCTGTGCTCACTGCCCGGCACCGTGGAGCTCGATGGGCATTTGCCATAGAATACCAGAATTGGCAGGTCCGCACTGGCACCCTGTGCTTTTCACAGATGAGAGCAGGTTCACCCTGAGCACATGTGACAGACGTGAAAGGGTCTGGAGAAGCTACGGAGAACATTATGCTGCCTGTAACATTGTTCAGCATGACCGGTTTGGTGGTCAGTGATGGTCTAGGGAGGCATATCCATGGAGGGACGCATAGACCTCTACAGGCTAGGCAACGGTGCCTTTACTGCCATTAGGTATCGGGATGAAATCCTTGGCCCCATTGTCAGACCCTACGCTGGTGCAGTGGGTCCTGGGTTCCTCCTGGTGCACGACATTGCCCGGCCTCATGTGGCGAGAGTATGCAGGCAGTTCCTGGAGCATGAAGGAATTGATACCATTGACTGACCCCCACATTCACATGGCCTAAATCCAATAGAACACCTCTGGGACATTATGTTTCAGTCCATCCGACGCCACCAGGTTGCACCTCAGACTGTCCAGGAGCTCAGTGATGCCCTGGTCCAGATCTGGGAGGAGATCCCCCAGGACACCATCCATCATCTCATTAGGAGGATGCCCAGACATTGTCAGGCATGCATACAAGCACGTGGGGGCCATACAAACTACTGAGTACGATTTTGAGTTGCTGCAATGAATTTTCAGCAAAATGGACTAGCCTGCTGCATAATTTTTTCACTTAGATTTTCGGGGTGTCTTTGAATTCAGCCCTCTGTAGGTTTGTAATTTTAATTTCCATCAAATGATGTGGCATCCTTTCACTCTTAACACATCACCCAGTTCATATCAGTATAGATATCCAGCAGGATTTTTCCCCCATTGAAATCTGATGCGTTTTCAAAGTGTTCCTTTAATTTTTTTTGAGCAGTGTATTTGGTTTGGGAACTGAAGCGGTGTTCATATAGCCATCCAACAAGATCAGTGACTTTTGGAGAACAGAAGAAATCCCTGTTAGTTTTTATTGTTACCCTTAACTTGCATATAATCTAATCTTAAATAATATTTTTTGTATAGACTAAATATACACTTACTGCCCAGATAAATAGCTTTGACTGCCGAAGACTTTTGCACAGTACTAACTCCTTAAACAGCCGCTTTTACAAGCTGAATATACACTGTGTCAAGAATTGCGCTTTCACTACAGTTCTGCGTCTGTCTTGTTGATGTTAATTAAATGAGCACCCTGTTGAGGTTCTCTCTGTCTCCCAAACACAGGACTTCCTCATGGAGACTTTCATCATGTTCAAAGACCTGATTGGCAACGTCTTCCCTTCCGACTGGATGATCATGAACCTGTTGCAGATCAAGGTTTTCTTGAGGGCCATCAACCAGTATTCAGAGGTCCTCAATCAGTACTTCCTGGACCCAGCTCATTTTGAGCTGCAGGTGAATCAGTAGCACCAGTCATTAAAAATAGGGTAATTGGGTTTTGGGTTTGTGAATCTCTTGTCTTTTATGCCTATTTACCCCCCTTCTGTGCCTCTTCAGCTCTGGAACAACTACTTTCACCTGACTGTGGCTTTTCTGACCCACAAGTCTTTGCAGCTAGAATCTTTTTCTCAAGAGAAACGCAATAAGATTCTGAACAAGTAAGTCTTATTCCCGAGGCTCCTGTAAATCTTTGCTGAAGAGTTTAAGCAGGTATTGAGCTGATAATCTAAAGCCAAGTTTCAGGCTATGGTTTAGTTTTATCATTTGAAAAAGGTTTTAATTTGACTGAAACCCATTTTGGAATTCATACAAAAATTCTAAAAATGCTAATATAAAGAAGATACACATTTATCTGGTTATCTAGTTCAGTTTTGAAAGATGTTTTCACGAATGTAAATGGGTATCGGCAATGACCACAACTGATATGTTAACTGAAGCGAAATCTTAATTAAAACTAGAATTAGAACCACGACTAGTCATTTTACAGAATAGCTTTACAGAAACTTAAACCAAAAAGTGTACAAAAAAAAAGAAGAAATCTGTAGTAGTAAGAACTGAATATAATAATGTTGACTCACTAGATTTAAATGTTGATTGTTCGTTCTGCATGGTGTGTTAATTGATGTCCTTTTTAAATGTAGATATGGTGACATGAGAAAGAACATTGGATTCAAGATACGTGAGATGTGGTACAACCTTGGTAGGAGAATTCTCTCTTGTTCTTATTTTTGTAGCAGAGTGCAGCAAAAATTGGACATACAGAATGACAATAGGCTGTCACTGCTTATAAATGAATTTAAACTTCTGATTGCTTATTAGTTTGACATGCTTTTAGCTTAAACTCATTTGCCACTTTTATTATTTATGTATTTAATGTCCTGGCAGCAGACTTTGCTGCCTTTTACATTAGTTTTTAATTTATTCTCCTAGACTGATGTGTTAATTGAATGTGTTTCAGACTCGCATCAAATGGCTCCCACATGTAGTCAAATTGGTTTTGTTACTGAAAGAGTAACTGTTATGTGTAATAAGATAAGCTGTTTACTTTTTGTCCATTAGAATGGATAATAAAGTGCATATTGTTTCAGCCACTGAGCACTTAACAATCATGGACTGATTAACCTAAATTAAGGTAGTCCAATCTCTGTTTGATTTCATTAAATTTCAATTCAAGTTAAATTAAATTAAGTGGACATATGTTATTTGCACGGATGTCTGTAACACACTCTTAATCTTTGGACCAAGCCACGTGTCTCTTGACAAAGAAATCTGATTTGTGATCATTAATTCCCCAGAGTCCTCAGCACGCTTTTGTGATCCTTTTAATCAGCAGCTTTGTCAGGACGTTTCACTAATAGCTGAATGAGAATTAAATCTAGCGTACTGAATTGCTGCTGGGACCTCGATTGAAACGGCTGTAAACAGAGTCCGTTCTGATTGCGGCCCACATCTCCTGCCCCTCTTACCGTTTGATGATGAGCCTGGGTGGCAGGCACTGATGCCTTGCGGGTGGCTGTGACCCCTCCATCCAGGCCCCCACAAGATGAAGTTCATCCCGGCCATGGTGGGTCCAATCCTGGAGGTCACGCTGGTGCTGGAGCCGGAGCTGCGTAAAGCCACCATCCCCATCTTCTTTGACATGATGCAGTGTGAATACAACTTCAGCTCCACCCACACCTTTCAGACGGTCAGTGTCCGTGGGCCGACCTTTGACCGAACTGGGGTGACCTTTGACCTTACCGTGCACGTGCGTGTCATTGGCAGTTTGAAAATGAGCTGATCAGTAAGCTGGACCAGGAGGTGGAGGGCGGCCGAGGGGACGAGCAGTACAAGATACTCTTGGAGAAAACGTGGGTTGCGCCTCCTGGAAGCTGCGTACGCCTCCGCCACCTGCCCCCCCCCCGGCCCGTGACACGCGCTCTCCTCCTCTCCTCCTCTGTCGCAGGTTGCTGGAGCACTGCCGACGACACCGGTACCTGTACCAGTCCGGCGAGAGCCTGGCGCTGTTGCTGAGCAGCCTGCTGGATCACCTGCTGGCGTACCGCACCATCACCCACGACGAGAGCCCCGAGCTTCGCATGAGCTGCACCGTCAATGTGCTGGTAGAGTGCCTTATCTATCACCATTACGACCATGATGATATCCAGAAAATTCATGCATGAAGGTTATAAGGTCATACACAGCAAGCTTATTAGTGATTGTTGGTGTAATTAGCGCCAAGCCAATTGCTGTATTTCCCAAGAATAGAGAAAGTGTGAACAGTAATGGTACGTCTCTGATATCCGTATTCACTGGGCAGATCTGGCCCACCACTGTTTGGTCCCTTGCATCACCATACAGTTGAGAGTTTTTTTATTTTCACCAGGGTGGATTGAATAATGCTCGCTCCAGTGCATTCTGGGAAATGCTAAGTAGCGTATTGTCGCCCTGTCCCGAGCTCACTTGCGGGTGACCTTGCCAGGTGTCTCCAAAAGCCTTTCTGGATGTAGCTTCAGGGTTAACGGCAAAGAACAAAGAGGGACACCGTTTATTGTCAGAGCAGTGGAGCCCCATAAACCATAAGTGCCTGGTGGTTTGAGATGTGCTTGGTGGTTACGGGTGACAGGAGTCAACCTGTTCCTGTGCACTTAAGAAGCCCTGCTTGTCTTTGCAGAATTTCTACAAGGAGAAGAAGAGGGAGGACATCTACATCCGGTGAGATGGCTGTTTTTACTGGAATATGAGCCTAGCAGCTGAACGGTTAGATAAATGGATAAACGAATGAAAGCCTCTTGGCCTGGGTGACTGTGTGGCTGAGTAAGTGTCCCTCTAGCTTCCTGTCGTGCCTGTCCTGTCCCTCAGGTACCTGTACAAGCTGCGGGACCTGCACCTGCACTGTGAGAACTTCACTGAGGCGGCCTACACCCTGCTCCTCCACGCTGAGCTCCTGGAGGTGAGTGACACCCTCATGAGAAACTGTGCTTCTGCTTCCCCTGCGGCTCGGAGGAATAGCCTAACCCCCCTCCCCCCCCCCAAAACAGTGGTCCGACAAGCCTTGTGCCCCCCACTTGGTCCCGCGCGAGGATCTGCGTGGCTGTACCCAGCAGGAGCTGAAGGAGAGGCTCTTCCAGGAGATCATATGCTACCTAGACAAGGGCAAGGTCAGCTGCCACCTTTGACCTTTCACCCTTCATCCTGGAAAGGGAAAGTATGCAGGCATTATCAGAATGCCTATTGGACTCTTCTAACAGCTGTTATCATTTCTAAGGCTACACATTAATATATTGTATATTTTTACAGTACTCGATATTAAATGAATATTACCGACTATAAGTTAACTTTATGTTAATAATAAAGATCATCAAAGCTTATAATTTTTTAAAAGAGCTTTTATTGTCAGAATGGTGAGAAGTAGTGTAGTCTCAAAATTCATGGAAGATATTCAGTTATGTTCACTAAACTATGAGAGCAGCTCTGACCTCAGGACTGTGGTTTGGTGACCGCGGGTCTGCCTGAGTCCAGCATGCAACGCATGCGATGATGCCCTTTTCTGGCTGGGGTTGACGAGGCCGCATGTCTGCCGCTTACAGATGTGGGAGAAGGCCATTGAGATGTGCAAGCAGCTGGCCAAGCTGCATGAGAACCAGATGTTTGACTTCGTGGAGCTCAGCCAGCTGTTGGTAAGGCGAGGGCTACACTGACAAGACGGTACAGTCTGTGCCATTTAATTTGTTGTCCACCTCTGACCTGATTGCTGTGTCCCACATAAAGTGCTTTGAAGCTGCCTGTTTGGGAAAGGCACTGTATTAGAATACATCACATCTGATTCATAAGGTTGGTTGTCTCAGTGGGATTGTTCTGGGGGGATCGTTCATCACCTAAAAATAAGTCCTGACCTGTTATTGTGCCCAAGTCTGGCACAAAGCGTACAAACCACACAGTAGCCAGTGACGCTTGTCTGCCTGAGTGACCTGCTGCATGTCTCTGCTCGTTTCCAGAAACAGCAGGCCCAGTTCTACGAGAACATCATGCACGCCATGCGCCCCCAGCCCGAGTACTTCGCCGTGGGTTACTACGGCCTCGGTTTCCCTTCCTTCCTCAGGGTGAGGCCCCGCCCAGGAGCACTTGTAGCTCCTCCCACTCAATGACATCATTGGGCATTCGGGGGTAGCTCCCTGCCAGGCCTGTGACCTTCTCTTTGTTATTGCTGGTGTAACAGCAGGCCTGATGACAGAGCATTCATCACTTCACGCTAGGGCAGGAAGCGTCTCTTCCTTGTGGCCTTTAAAGTCGCCATTTGGCACCAAAGACTGTATTGAATACGAGGTCAAAGTGCACCTACTGACTGTTCTGTATTCATAGAGTTTTGTGTGTTATGGGACAGTTCGGTAATCAAACAGAACTCTCTGCTCCCTTGTTTCAACACCCTGCTGCTGAATCTCCTTTTGGGGCCTTCAGCTCCTCACTCGCAATAAATGACGGTTTGTTTACCTTCAGAGCGAAGCCTAGGGTTTAATATGTTGCCGTCCGAGCCACTATTATTTTTAACGTTTCGGTGACCTTCTGTGATTTCAGAACAAAATGTTTATTTATCGTGGTAAGGAGTATGAGTGGCTGGAGGATTTCAGCTTGAAGCTCCTATCCCAGTTCCCTATGGCGGTACGGATGACCAGCACGGCGCTCCCTGATGACAGCATCTGCAACTCGCCAGGGCAACGTATCTTTTCCCGCCTTTTTTCCTGGGGGTGGTAGGCAACTTGTGGGTAGCTTTTGCTACTGGTGGGTCTCAATGGAGCATGTCTGGGAATACAGAGCAAACAACAAAGATGTGACTACACTGCTAGAGAAGTGTACACTGTGCCGGAGTGAAATGTGAATTTTAGAGGGAAATATGTTGGAGTACCTCTTGGCTACCTTGATGAATCAGAATGGGATTCACAAAACAAATGGGGTAAGCTCAAACTGTGACATTTCAAAATGTCACCATTAAACCAAAATGGCTACTGGACTCTCAGGAGGAGCATCAACACCGCAAAACACTCGTTTGATCCTTCCTCCAAAACAATTCCCCTAATCTCGTTATCGTCAGGGTCGCTAGAAGGTCAGTAAGAGCTGTGATCTGTCAGGGCTGAGTGGGGAACAGGAGATGCACGTTACGGGCTTCCTCTGACTGGCATTGACCTTAGCCAAGTCCCACAGACATCCAGTGTTTCACGGTGAAGCCTGTTCTGAAGCTGCCTCATCAGTTTAAAGACAAGGGAGTACCAGAGCAGGTCCTCAAGTAAGCTGCCGCCCAGCCCAGCCGCTGTCTGGTCGCTGGATGCAGAGCAGAGTCGCTCATTCTTTGCTTCTGACTGTCTCTTCCTCCCCAAGTTACTACAGGACCAATGAAGTGGACCGGTTCCAGTACTCCAGGCCCTTCCGGAAAGGGGCAAAAGACCCAGATAACGAGTTTGCCGTGAGTACGCCTCCTCTCTCCGCGTGATCTCGCAGACCGCCGGTTCAGCAGTCCCCCACGGTAGGCGGTCCCTCATTAGGCGCGTTAAAAAAAAGTGCCCCTCTCTCTGACCGCTCGCAGACCATGTGGATCGAGAGGACCACCTACTTCACGTGCTACCGCTTCCCTGGAATTCTGAAGTGGTTTGAAGTGAAGTCGATCTCTGGGGTAAATTCTGTCTCTGCGTTCCCTTTGCATTTTCTTTGTTGAAAGAGAGCCAGGCTTTGAGGACCTTCTGCTTGCAGAGCACCAGGGCCCAGAGTGTTGGTTATTCAGCTTGCATGCCTTGCATGGTTACTGTTTTATTAATGTATGTGATATATGAAATGCATTCATAATGGGGCCTTTTAGTCACAAGTCCAGACATGTAACCTTTATCCTATCAGACAAAATAATTTGAAATACCAGTGGGTATGTGTTGCATTTAAAAGGCCTGCTTGCCCCCATGGCTTCAGTCTCCACTAAGCCCTGCCCCCTCCTTGCACGGCAGGAGGAGATTAGCCCTCTGAGGAACGCCATTGAGACGATGGAGATGGCCAACGAAAGGCTGGGCAACCTGGTGCAGCAGCAGGCGTGCGACCGCTCCCTGCCCGTGCACCCGCTCTCCATGATGCTCAACGGCATAGTGGACCCAGCCGTCATGGGAGGCTTCGCCAACTATGAGAAGGTCCGTCTAGGCGACCTCCTGTCTGTCCCTAATCCCTGAGGCTTGTCCACTTGATTGTTCATGGGGTCCAATCTTCAATCCATTGCAGTGGTGTGACTCTCAGGGCTTATCTTTACGCTAAAATTCAAGGTACCTGCCTAACAGTAACATTTTTATTCCTATTTTACTGTTTTCAGGCATTCTTTATAGACACCTATATCAAGGAACACCCTGAGGACCTGGAAAGCATAGAGGTCCTCAAGCACCTAATTGCCTTGCAGGTGATTCCACATTTCCGCTCACCCCGTCCTTACGTTCTCAGCTTTCTTCAGAAAACACTTGTCTCTTAATGTTTCTGTTCTCTGAGCCCAGATTCCCCTCCTGGCAGACGGAATTCGGATCCATGGTGAGAAGTCAACGGAGCAGCTCATGCCTTTGCACAAGCGCTTAGTGACCTGCTTCCAGGACCTGCGGGAGAAGGTGGAGAAACTCTATGGAGTCATCACCCTGGTCAGTCCATCATTGAGTGTATGTGTGTGTCTCTGGTCTGTCAGTGTCTGCTCTTTCTCCGCACCCTGTACGCCCCTCTGGATCTGTACCACCGGCCCCAGAGGGACTCGAACTCACTTCTCTTACAGCAATCAGTCAGAATCATTGCTTTCTGTACTTGTCAGCTACTTTTCACATATTAGTGAGAGGTTGGCTTTTGAATGTCCCAAAAATAATAATAAAAAAAAAACTTCATTAAAAAAATGTATCCTTGGTTGAGTTTCTTTAGTACTGGGTTTGACCATACAGGTGAATGCCTGTCCTTTATTCCTCAGTTAAATGTGTCAGGGTTTATACAGTCATGCGGTTTGATGTATGGGTTGCAGCACCCAGGAGACCTTGATGACTGAGCTTATATCTCCTTTAGATTAGGCCGTCTGCCCTCCAAAGACACTGGTAATTGGTTTATTCATCTGAAGCGGAGGTCGTCGGCTGGTTCGCCGAGCTCGTCGTCCAGTTTTTTTTTTTTGTGTCGCTGATCATTAGCTGGTTAATTGGGGGGGTCGTTGGCTGCTTAACGAGGGTCAGCGATGTGTGACCGTACCATCTGCGTGTGCCGCCACAGCCCTGCTCGCTGACAGAGAGGAAGAAGAGCCGCGTGGGCTCTGTCGTCATGCCCTACATCATGTCCTCCACCTTGCGGCGCATGTCCACCGTCTCCACCCTGTCCACCGCCTCCTCGGGCCTCTCCAGCGGATCGACGTCCTCCGAGGGAGGTCCCTCCCGACCCTGCTCCCAGGAGTCAGTGCTCGCCCTGCTCCGTTCTGGAACCTTCCTCAGCCCCACCCAAAACACACCCCATCAGTTTTGTCCATCTTTAAGGCTTCCTCTTGACTATATCTTCGTATAAGTTTTTTTAACGATTTTGATAATTGGAAACGTTAACGCTGGTATGTGGGTATACTGGTGCGTTCACACACTTAGGATATAGATGTGCCTTATTTGGTGCCTGTGTAGCTGGTCTTACAGTCCTTCGATTACTGAACATTAAAACACTCCTCTATCTCCCCTCCTCTCTTCCCACCCCAAGTTCTCTGTTGTCCCGAGCCAGTGACCGGCGGGCTTCCGTTTTATCTCAGTCCGAGGAGGACAACCGGATCAGCCGCAAGAACCGGAAGGAATGGAACGTGAGCAAGTCGCAAGTTCTGCCGGAGAGGATGTCGGACCAGGATGAGGTGGGAGTCGTGTGTGGGGGGGGGGGGGGTCTTTGAACCTGGCCTAGCATCAGGTGACACCATGTTCATATCGGGGGTCCATCAGACCAGTATGTGAGAATGAAACCTTACCTGTTGCATTATTTGTATTATATTTGTATTGCTGTATTGTAGCTTTACTCCCGGTCTGTGACTGTGTTGCGGATCGGTCCTCACGTCCCACCCTCACGTCCCACCCTATCTGTTTCTCCCACAGACCGAGTCCACATGCTCCGCCCCTCACACCCCTCCATGCCCCGCCCCCTCACATCTCACCTTTTCATGCCACCCTCACAACCTGCACTCCAAGTCCCACCTTTACATATCTCCCCCATGCCCCCCTCACGTCTCGCCCCCTCATGTTCCCGCCCTTTTACATCTCTGCCTCCCTCGCTCCCGCAGACCCCCCCGGAGAAGCAGCAGAGGCCCAAGAGCCTGCAGCTGGGGGACCGGCGCCTCACCCTGGCGCTCTTCCAGGGCGCCTCCTCGCAGCTGAGCCTGTCACACCCGCTGAGCCCCCTGCCGGCCTCGCCGCACACTCCCCGCAGCTCCAGTACGTGGCCTGGCGGCGGCCCGGCGCACGAAGGATGTGCCACTACTGACATGTGCTGTTCCCTTTACAGTGAATGTTTCATAGGCGGGCTGCTTTGTATTTATACTCAGACATGTTGTGACAGTAACGTCATTAATGTAGAGAGTTTCACGCTGGGTTTCCTTTTGAGGCTGCCTGAGGCTGACTCCCCTGTTCTCCTACAGGTTATACGTCTATCCCGAGTGACAATGACGCAACCCCTGACACCCCTGAGACACCCCCACCCATGCCACCCAAGAAGCACGTCCATGACAGCGAACTCCGCTACAGCTCTGTCGAGGTGACGGTCATGTTGGTTAACGCTCTCTACACACACCCCCCCCCCCTCCCGTCATACTGAAATGTATTTTTCACCTCTATCCTTTTTTCTTTCCCTTTTTATAGTTCACCCCCCCACTGCCAGTAAAAGGAAATGACGTCAAGCCTCCTCCTCCGCCCCCAAAAACACGCAAGTCCATGCTTCCTTCGTAGTACCAAGGACTGCGGGTGGAGGACCAGGCTGGGCCTGACTGGGCCAATGCACTTCTGCTCCAAGAAGGGGCGCCAGATCCAAGTGCCACAGTGATATCAGCATTCCCGTCCAAGTGCTATGGGAAGGGTACGTGCTCGGACTTTTAAGCGCGGAGGGGAGTGACACCCAGCTCTCTTCAGCTTTCTTTGGCATTCTGTCTGAACATGGACCACTGACTACTTGATTCTAATGTTTAATTCGTTTTGGTTTGCATTCCAGAGTAGTTTTTGTTTTGGACAATAAGTCGTAGTGTGAGAAATGGTTCAGATGCACACTGTAAATAATGTGGCGAAACTGTGTGTTAGCTCTGCGTGTTTGACTACTGGGTATGGGCACAACCAAAGCTTCTGCAGTGCCGGGTTTCACCCCAGGGCCACCCATGCTAGGCATTTGTACCACAACTGATTGGGAGCAGCTGCCTTAAAAGATCTGCCATATCCTTTTAAAAAAAGGATCGACCGACCTAACCGAGAGTTAAATTGTGTTTTTATGCGTAACGAGCTCATAAGGCTGTCTGACACCATTAAATCGACAGCTTAACCTGAAGCACAGTAACCTTTAACATGACTAGTTAAGGTAGTGTGAGTTTACTGAATGAGTGAGGTTCTTTGTGCAATACATTTGCAGAACTGCTTTGTTGACACTAATTTTGTTTTGGGTGGTAGGCAAATTCACTTCATAAGAACATATTGACTATCAATGGCAGGAAATATTTTAAGATTCAGAACCTGTGTTTCATAATTATTATTTTTTTGAATCAACGTATTTTGGGAAGAACAAAATTTATCTGCTACCGGTCTCTAGCTGTATTTTGTGTAAATGGACTGTTTCTGAATCATAGGTGTGTCCCAGCCATGCAGGATGCTGTCATTAATACAGAACTGTGGCTTCACTCTGCACATTGTGGTGCCCCAGGTTGCTTGTGAATGAGGCTGGGCTTGTTTGCTTATTTGATTGTAAAGTATTTTGACTGACTTGCCAGTGATACTCTGATGCTTCAAAATTTACAGCTGTTTTTTTTCCCCTCCTTCCACACACTGTCAAATTGCTCCAGAACCACAGCCACTTTCGAGTTTGCTGCGAACAAATCAGTTTAACATGGACTAATCCTGTTTTAATTGCTGTTTCATTTTAAATAAAGTCTCAAGTAATACAGGAAATACTTTTTGTAAGTCTGCTTTATGTGTAATTTTTCAGAAGATGTGATACAGATGATGGTTCGTCTCTGTAAAGTGGCTTCAGTATTTTCAGGGACCAACAGTGAAATCTGGAAGGGGGGTGGGGGGTCTTGTAGGTTTGGTTCTGTGTCGATAGTGGGTGATGGGATGCATTAGCATGAAGACGTGTTAAAACACAGAATTTTTCAGTAAAATGTAATAACCAAGCGAATAAAATAATTAACAAACAATTGCTTGATTGGTGAATTTACCTATTTTTAAAAATAAAAATTACAACCTAAAAAAACAACCTAATCCAGGTGATATACTGGCAGTGTGAGATATTTCAAAATATCGACAGAAATGCATAGTCTGCAATGCAAAATACTGATGTAACAGAAAATAATAAAAAATAGTTTGACTAAATGTCAGCATTTAAAATCGGAATCTATAGTATACGTCTGTATCCACAATGCTAGTGATGTTTCAAGGATGGTTCTCCACTGTGTGTTTATAAAACAAGGTAAATTGTGTAATTTTTCTGCATCTGCTGTAATTTTAGGTTTGTGTTTTACATTATTGGCATTTGAGACATTACAGCAACAGGTGGCTCTCTACCCAAATGACTTTAGCAAAACGAGGATCACCTGACACCAGTCACACTTAACACATTTGTGGAATGACATTGCCCCGGTGTGCTAGGTGGCCGTTTCGGAAATGTTCATTCTCTTTTCACGTTTTGGTGTGGTTAACATATGGGAATTTTGGTGTGGCTCCCTCTGTTGGAGGTTTAAGGTAATACTATAGCAGGTGCGACCCTTTGGCAATCTTTCTCTTCATCCGGACAATCTGTCGCCTCTCAATAGTAGTATCTTGGGTATATGTAAAGGGACAATACCTGAAAGCCCTGAGCACGCATGGGGGATCCAGGACTCTACAGGAAGTAAAGGCCAGACTGTGAGGGGTGAGTTGAACAGACCCTGGGGGTTTGCTATGCGGTGTAATAAAACAGGGCTGAGATGTGCCAAATTATGTTAGATTCTAGCTTTTGTCTGTACGGCAATCAGCTTGAGATGGATCTGTAGAAAAGGACAGGTTGTTTTTTTTTTCCTTTTTTTTTTGAGTTTTCCGTAATAGATACCTCAAGACTTGCCGCATATCTCAGCATTTATCTGCAGTTTTCCCTGCTGTTCCACTTCAGTACTGAAGGGGGCAGTATGCAATTCTAAATTGCCACATATCTTTCAAAGAAATAAGCAGAGGACTGTTGCGCGGAGCTTGATTTGCTGCATTGCAAATGGAATGATGTAAGAAGCGTTATAAATGTAAACACCTCGATGCTAAAAGTCTGGATTACAGATCACATGGTGCCATAAATGTCATCACATAATGCCTATTTTAGTGATGTTATCCAACCACCGGGACCGTTCTGTGAGTACAAAGGAAGCTCGTCTGAGTGACAGAGAATTTCCCAGGCTGCTGAAGTCGACAGACACGCTCATTTCTTCACAATGCAATCGTGAGTGAGATGATTCACGGTGACACATTGGCTCACACTGCTTCTCCCCAAACAATATGACACGTCTGAAAACTGATAGACATGTTAGAAACATCTCAACTGGCTTGTGTGGTCAAGAGACAAAATATTGATATGTCTGCAGCTTTTGAATAAAGTTTTAATTTGTAAAAAAAGCACTTGAAGCAGTAAAAGCGTAATCAGCATGATAAATGCTCAGCACGACATGCTTATTAATAACATGGTGGCTCATTGGGTACCACTGTGGTCTCACACCTCCCAGGTTGAGGATAGGATTTCTGACCTGGATCTGTGTGGAGGTTTGTTTGGGTGTCCTGTTGGTGCTCTGACTTCCCCCTGCATAGGCGGATATGGAGATTCTGTCGTCTCTAAATTGCTGTCAGTGCGCAGTTGTGTGTGATGGCAGTGAGGGACTGGCATGCTGTCTGGGGGTGACACTGTGACACTGTGGCCTGTGCATTCTGGCACAATTACAGGCTCACTGTGGCCCAACATAAGAAAAAAACAGCATGGCTAATTCTGAAAGACACCGTGATGAAAATGCAATTTTTACCACAGTCATGGTATGTAAAGACGTAGCCTACGGGGTTGTTTTTTGTTTTTTTCTTTCTTCTCAGTCATGACGTCTTGCCATGGGCAGGCCTGTCCAGGTATGGAATGTTTGACGATCCCTGCCCGAAAGTGAATCAGTGCTTGTGGAAAGTGGGAGATCGGTGTGCTTCTTCGTGTCGTCGTTTTAGAGGTTTGGAGTAAGCAAAACTGCTGACATTAGAGGGAGCTTAAACTCCAGCGATTTCAAATATACTCCCTGCAACGATCAGGGCAACCAGTGCAGGAGAAATATTGTGAAGGAAGGATTTATTTTTGTAAGGTTTGCTTAACAGAAAGAGGCAGCTCTTCCCGAGGAGATCATGACGCACAGTGATGATGTCATTAGTTGGGGGACCAAGCATGTACTCTTGAATGAAGTGAGTGCTACCCATGACTTAAGATATTTTTTTTTTATTCCTCATACTTAAGAGTGCTGGAAATTAAGCATAAAACCCTAAATAAATCATCCAACACTTCAGTTTATTAGGCTGTAAGAAAAATACAACTTGGCTCCCTCATAAACAAGGACCCTGAATTCAGGTCAGACCACACTTTGCATGTAAATGGTGACACTGAGCTTAGACACAAAGCAGAGGCCGTGTTGGATGACACGACTCATTTCTGTCGACCCATCAGCAGGATGGCAAGGCATAGATGCTATCGTAGAAGCAGAACGAAGCCAAAACTGACATCCATTCTTCTTCCATAGCTGTGTATCTGTATCCAGTCCAAGGTCAGGGAGAATCTAGAGTCTATCCCAGGAAGCACTGGGCATAAGGACATGCAGCTCAATTAATTCATTAGCTTAATAACTCAACCAGGTATTGATTAGCCAAACAAGCTGTGCTAGTGGCTGAGTAAAAGAGTCAAAAATACTTTGGTGTATTGGATGGTTGCTACAAATACTGGGGTGTGGGGGAGGTGAGGTTTAGGAATGACTAAGATTGCTAACACTTGGTAACACTTACTATGAATGCCTTTAAGTACACATTCATAACACATTATAATGTGTTCATAAAGCTTAATACACATGGCTGTAAATATTCATATAAGGTATAACACATTATAGATATGTTTATTATGCATTATGAATGCTTTATGAAGCTGTCATCTATAATGCAGTATAGATACCTTCATAATGCAGTAGATAGCAGTAATGCAGTAGAACCACTAAAGATAGATATCTTTAGTGGTTATACCAACCATTATAATGCATTATGAAAGCATCTATAGTGCATTAAGGATAAGAGCTTCATCGGAGCTTAAGAAGTAATATAATCATTAATATAATGCCTTATGACTGCCAATAGAAGATGCTGTAAAGCTTTATCAATTCTTATACCGACCATTAAAATGCATTATGCAGGTATCTATAATGCAATATAGATAACAGCTTCAAGTATAGTGTTGCCATCATAGTTTTACACCAAAACGAGGATCATTTAAACATCATTTTCTCTGATTGCCTAAGACATTTTCAAAGTACAGTATCTTGGACAGGATGTCAGTCCAAATGTAATAGATAACCATAATTTTGCAGCTAAATAGAATAAGTGAATAATGACAAATGTGGTTTTGTCATTTGTGTTAATTATTAAAAAGATTTTATGGAATTTTTATGGATTATGCATTATCTGTAATACTGTCAAATAATTCACAATAGTAATAATGTGAGTTTGTATAGCAAGATAATTACGTATTCTCTCTTTCGTAGTGGCAGTACATCTAATGACTAGCTAACGATTTTAGTTACTGAGCAACAACATCTAATGAAAAATTCAGAGCAATATCATTTTAAATACATTCATAAAATTTATGGGTTCAGGATCAAAAGACAGCAATCAGTTTACTAGCTCATCTGATTTTTATTCACAAAAGAGAAAAAAATACAATATATATCTGTTATGTTCTTCTGGATTACCCTTAATGAGAGAGTTTTTAACATAACAAGTGGAATGAGACACTAAAAATGCAAAGCATAAAATCCCTTAATGAATAATCCTTTCTTAAACCTCCCACACAAACAAACTGAAGTGGTGTTAAATGAAAGAGTCCATGAAGAAGTTCCTCTTTGGTGGGTGGGTCTGGGTATCGTTCACGCTACTCCTGTTTTGTGGCTATTCTCCCAAACCTCTCTGAGGTACTTCTGGAAAGATCCAGGGCCCCTCGAAGGTCTGGTCCAGCCCACCTTTCTGTTCTCCTCTTCACTGGCATGACTTGCTGGCTGTGTGCTTGTTTCATTATAAGGCCTCTTGTGGCTTTAAGGCAGTGTGGTGACATCATTTCCAGTGTCAACCTGATCTGTTTGCCATGTTCTTGATGTGTCAGGCTGCCGCTCCTTGGATTTCTGGGCTCTGTGTTTTTGTGGCCCCAGTAACTGGGTGGAGCCCTGACCAGTGTGCGCTTTTCCTGTCTGAAACCCAGTTGATCTTTCCCATCCCCTTCTGGAAGGTGCTTTTTGTGTTTAGCTTGACACCTGCTTTCCCTCCTGTTCCTGCCGACGCTGTTTCCACAGAGACGGACGCCCCTGAGGAAAGACCCTGTTACCTGCCCTGTCATGTGGCCAGTCACCGTGCCGCGTGATAATGTCCGGCGCTCTACCTGCAGCCTCTTTCACAGGGTCCCTCTCTCTTCTTGCCGTTTTATAGCTAAAATCATTGTGACACTTGACATTTTTTTCCTTGACACAACCAACACTTTTTTCTGCCTGTATGGCCAGGCACTGAATTTTTCTGTTCAGCTGTTCTGGATATAATTTGCTCACACGTTGCACCATTAGCGATAGTGTTACTCAGGAAATACCCTGATTTAGAAACCTCTACATTTAATTATTTAGCTGCTATACTATACCTTTCTTCCCTGCTGTCAGTCACCTTC